GTTACAGCTGACCCTCAGCTCCATGCTGCAGACTCCCTTCAGTGATCACAGCATTTGGTGACTGCTGAGGATCCTGGAAGGCAGCTTGGTGAAATGCCCGGGGGCCCAGCTAAGCATTCAGGGGGAAAGCTGTGTGCCAAGGTGCCAACTCTCTCTGGAGAATTCAAAGGGCAACCTGCCGATCACTCCTCTATCCAAGTTTGTGCCCAAGTCTAGGGCTACTTTTGATCCTGGGAGGGTCTAGGCAAAACACCAAATTATAGTTTTCACTGCTTTTGTTGCCATATTTGGCTCCTTGTGAGGACACCTTCCAAACAAAGGCCAGGGAAAGAAGAAGGAAAGGAGCAGAAGCTAGAGAGAAGTTTGGTTTAAAGAGCTGCATGTGTGGTCCCAGCTCTCAGGGTAGCATCTGTCAAAGGAAGAAGCTGGAAGAATTCTATTGAGTTTCCTATGTCCTTCAAACTCCCTAGGACACAAGGAAGCAGAGGTTATCGTTCCTGTGGGTCATACATAGTTGCCCACTGATAACTTCCCTCCCCAGGCACTTAGAAATATTAAGCGAGGACACTGACAGAAAGTATAAATATATCTAAAGAAGGGGTGTTGATCTGGGAAGTTAGTGAGCCTGAAGGCAGAGAGAGTCTGCAAAAATCGCGTCTTAGGGCTCTGTCTGGCAGAGGGACCACAGTATTCAGGAATAGCTGGCCCTCTGTTAAGTGTCCCTATTAAAGAGACTCAAAAGCCAACAAAAAGACTTTGGAGTTTCAAAACGAATTTCTCTGTTGGAATTCCAGACTTCCCAGTACCTTCCGGTTATTTGCCTTCCTTGTAGCTTGGGAACAGGTGTGGCTGGAAGGCTGATGTGTCTGTCTTACCCACTGACCAATTGGCATCTGAGCTTTTGCACAGGTCTCTATGAGTTTGTGGGTCTGAGTCAGCCTCCCTGCTTGAGATGATTTCTACAGGGACCAGGTTTCTGAGTCTCAGAGCATAGGCCAGGCTCAGAGTCATGGTGCATGTACCCAGTGGGGACCTCTCTGTGAAGCTGGCTGGTGCTCCGCTCTGCAGAGCCGTGTCCCACTTCAACTACCTTTCCATCATGGATGAATAAAACCCAGGCTTAGCTGGCATGGTAGCACATGCCTGTAACCCTAGAGGCTCAGGTATCTGAAGTCCCAAACAAAACAAAACAAAATCCAAAAATTAACAAACCCAGGGTAGCACAGGGTCTACCAACTTCTTCACTCAACAGTTCCTTCACATTATCCTACACTGTGTATTGTGAACATTTCTCTTCTTGCTCTGATAATTCAACTAATTCAACCCACATTATGTCATCATTACAATAAAAGTATCTATTCATCAAATCTTCTGTGTGCCCAACCACCCCACAGAGAAAGCATGAAAGCTTTTGCTGTGTGTCTACCTCTCATTATTACTATGTTTTAAAATGAATCTGTGTGTGGGAACTTCAGGAGACATCCCAAGAGAAGAGTTTGCCATCCTCCATGTGCTTTCCAGGTTTTCTCATTCTGAAACTGGACAACATGATCCTTATTTTCTGAAGGAAAAAGAGGAAGAATATGGTCCTGACTGGAGAAGGCAGCCTGGCAGTTGTATCTAGTTGGAGGAGGAGGAGAATTCTGGGTAGACCCTGGTGTACTGCAGTAGATTCTGGCTGCCAGTCTTGACCCAGATACAAAAAGATGATAACCTAGGTGCTAAGCCCTTAAAGTATGCTCTCTATTTGTTCACTTCCTCTACCTCACATTTGAACATAACGCAAAAGAAACCGAACTGTGGGTAGATAGATGCATGATGGATTGTTCTGTCTTCTACAGCATGGGAGTAGAGGGAGAAAGAAGAGTGGCTACACTTAGCTTGGGAGTGGGAACTCCAAGAGTACCTCAGGCTGTAGTGACAACTCCCTCCATCTTTCCGAACCTGTATAGAAGGGTACTTTGGTTTTTGGCCTGCCACTCAGGAGATCATAGTTAATGTTTTGTTTTGTTTATTTGTTTGGTTTTGGGACCAGGGATTGAACCCAAAGGTGCTTTACTACTGAGCCACATCCCTGGCCCTTTTTAAATTTTTTTTAATTTTGAGACAGGATCTTGCTAAGTTGCTTAGGACCTCGCTAAGTTGCTGAGGCTGGCTTTGAACTTGTGATCCTGCTGCCTCAGTTTCCTGAGTCGCTACGATTACAGGCATGCACCACAGCGCCTGGCTAATGTTCTGTTTTTGACACTTTGGGAAGGTCAGTTATTTCTTAAAGCTTTAGTTTCTCTTTTGTTGGATTTCTAAGAAGCAATCACTTCATTTCTGCATATTCTGTGAGGTAGTCAGCACCTTAGGAAATATGCTTGAAGTAATGCACGTGACAGTTGGGTTAGATTCAAGGACAGATTATAGCCCGGAGTTCCCTTAAAGCATGCTCTCTATTTGTTCATTTCCTCTACCTCACATTTGAACATAATGCAAAATATTTGTTCAAAATAAGGAATTTATACCATATGAATATGATGCAGCCTGACCTAACTCTCAACTTATTTTTCACTTAACTTTTTAAAAATGCCACCAACAGCTAGTCATCAATCATCCACATTTAACTAAGTGTGAATATAGCCAGAGTCTTTCAAATTATATTTAAGAATTCTTTTCTGGTTGGTCAAACTATCTTCACTTTTCTGCAATTTCTGTTTTCTTTCTAGTGCTTAAAACAAAACAAAACTTTGAAGTCAGACATTTCCTTGGGAGCCAAATTAGATTTTTTTTTTTTTAAACCCAGGGCCTTATATATTGGAGGCAAGCACTCTACCAACTGAGATATAGCCTCAGTCCTTAAGATTTATATTTAGATAATAAAATATAGCTCAGTGAAAGCACTGTACTGTGCATTATTCAGTTTCTGAGTTTTAGGGGAAGGAGACAACTAACTTCTGGACACTGTCAATTATGTTGCAAAAATATCATCAGTGAAAGGCTGGTGCCTGGGAGGTGTGTTTTAAAATGTCCATTGGAAGAGACTATTTCAGTAGACAATTAACATTTTGAAGTAATGTAAGGTGTCTCGAAAGCAAACCTGAGATAGTAGGCACCATAGTTTTTTTTATTATTTCTGCTGTTTAGTGTTCCTTTTAAAGCTGTACCTGGCCAGTCATCTCATCTGACTCCAAGCAAGGTAGGAAAACAATGGGTTGAGAGATCTGGTTGTGAATATAAGACTTTGGGCAAGATAGTTAACCTCTGAGCCTCAGTTTCTCCCTTATAAAATGGTGATAATAATCTATTTTGAAGTTATTATAGATAATACTGAAGTTGTAAATAAGGCTAATATTATTTAAAAGCATGTTATATACCATAATATAGTCTATTGTAAAACATGATATAAATAATTAACAGGCAATTATCCTTTCTCCCTAACCTTAATAGCCTTTTAACCGATGGTTACTTTGAAGAGTTTTCTAGAGCCCAGGTTTGCTATAAAGACTGGTTTCTGAGGTCAGCACGTGTTCATATGCTCTGTAATATTTTGTAGTCGCCTGTGGTGCCAGCGTTCTGGGTGGGCAGTGGTTCCCATTAGAGGCTTTGCAGTCAGACCTGTACTCTGACACTGTCTTTTTGTATCTGCCATCTCCAAATAATTGCCTCATCACCAATATGTGCCCCTCCTAAGGTTGTGTGGTCACCCTCTGCACTCGGACTTTTGGTACTGTGATTCCCAAAAGCATCAAGTTCACTTCCTTTTGTAGTGCATAGTTCCTTCTGCAGGATGGTTCTTGTGCTTTTTGCTAGGTTAACTCTTATTCTCTGCAGCCTCCAAGAGGCCTTACGTCCCTGACCCCCATGACTTGACTAGGTGCCCTTTCCATCTACCTGCTCCCTGGGCCACCTTCCATTTAGTCCTGTGGGCAGCGTATGGACATGGCCTAGCCATTGGTCTACAGTGCTCCCCCACTGCTATAGCTTGGATCTGGAATGTCTTCTAAAGGTCTCTGTGTTAAAGGTTTGGTCCTTAGCTTGGCACAATTGGAAAGAAGTGGAAACTGTTAAGAGGTGGGGCCTAATGGGAGGTTTTAGGTCACTGGGGGTGTGCCCTTAGACTATGGAAAACTGGTCTCTTCCTCTCTGTTTGCTTCCTGGCCACTATGAGGCAAGTAGTTTGCTTCCCAGTTAGCTCCCTGCCATGATGTTTCACCTCACCACAGGCCTGAAAGCAATGGGGCCTACTGCCCATGGATTGAAACCTGGAACTGTGAGCCAAAATCAATCCTTCTTCTTTAGAAATTGATCACCTTAGGGATTTTGTTACAATAATGGAAAGCTCACCAACACATTCACCGTAATATTGATTGGCACTTTTGGGTTTTGTAAGTACCAGGCCCAGAACTTGGTGCTTCATGTTCACTATCTCATTAAAATCTCTTAACTATACTATAAAAAAAAAGTTTATTTGCACAGATAGGAAACCGAAGCTCAGAGAGGGTCAAGGATTTGCTCAAGGTCCTAAGATACAAGCAGGAAAGCTGGGATTTGAGCCCAGGCTTGCCTTGACACCAAACCTTTTGTAGTCAATTGCAAATTCCTAAGGGCTCACAAGGTTGAGCACAGTGAAGACACATAGTAAATATACAACAAATAATAGCTATTATCATTTTGACCTTGTCCAGTTGTAAATCTCTGAATAGAAAAGAACACAACCCAAAGATGCTCACACCCCTGGCACAAGAAAGTTGAGGTAATGTGTGGTGACCACAAGATGATCTCCTGAAAGCAAAGATTCCACCTTTGCCTTCGGGAATGATTCCGAGCACCACTGATTCTCAACAAATGTCTAATATGTGTTTTCTGTCACACAATCTTTGTACTGAAGAGATGCTTCGGTGTCCATTAGCACTTCGGTCCCTTCCCATTTCTGAGTGAGGAAGGGGTTTGACTTCAGAGGGGGCCAAAGAAATGGCTGGAGTTTCTTTTTGATGAGACACACAGGATGAGAACCATTTAAATAAACGTCCTCTTTATTTTACCAAATATAATTTATCAGTTAAGTTGACATTTGTCAATTCAGTTATAGTAACTATAAATAATTCTCTGAAGACAGTTCTTTAACTTTTGAAGGATACAAGAGTAAACCAATATTGCTCCTTGCAGCCAGGCCAAGGGTACATGCAGTTGGTACAATGGGAGGTGGCGGGAGGGGGAGAAATGAAATCTATTGATGTCAACTTCATTTTCCTTCTCTCTCGCCCCATGGTCCTCCTCTGCTCACACACTCAGAGCAGGGGGTGTACCTGCTTTCTGCTTTCTGGGCAAAGGAGGACTGATTCTCCAGGGACAGCCTGGCTGAGCTCCAGAGATGAGGAAGGTATGAGAGGCTGGAGCAGGGGTGACTGAAAATCACAGGGGTACAGCCTCAGGGTTTGGTGCCTGTACAAGAGTCTGTGTGCAAGTGTGTACTGAGGTGGAAGAAAAGATGAAAGGAGGTCAGAGGGAAGAGCAGAAACAGGCCCAGGCTGGTGTTAATGAACTCTGTTGGACACAACTCCAACTAGATAACCTCTATGATTCCTTCCAGTTCTAAGGATCTAGGATTCCAGAAGGTGGCCTGGGAGGAAATGGGAGAGAAAGAACAGTCTCTAGAGGTCTGGGGCAATTTCCCAGGGTAAGGCCTGGTGCTGGTAGAAGCAGGCCTACTGCCTAGCCTTCTTCCCTTGGAGGTGGCCCTTTAGGTTACAGAGGAGAGGGTTTACGGGGAAAAAGCCTGACAGGCCAGAAGAAGTCTGCATCCTCATGCCCAGATTGGCACATGTGAGTGTGGACAGCTGTCTGAGCTGTTTGGAGCTATGTGCTGGAAAGAGGCAGAGGCTCTGGATTTCTCTCAAGTTTTTTTTTTTTTTTTTGCTAGGCTGAGAAGCAGAAGAAGCCAATTGGTGTCTGTACTGCTAGTTCTAAATCCTCTTTGGGATGATTAGGGAGGAGAGGGACAAGAAGGGAGAGTGAAGGATGGTAGTTTAGAGATACAAACACTGGTTAAGTAATGGAACTGGTGGCTTGAGGTCTGATCAGCACTGCAGTGTTGGAGTCTAGGAAGAACAAGGCAAGGCCTGGTGTGGTGAAGGAGAAGCAAATGCCTACAATGAGGAAATCTGTCTGCCTTATTGAAAGGGACAGGTGACCTATGTAAGCTGGGGAAGGAGGTGAGGTGAGAGCTGTGATTCCCTTACCACTGGCTAGTCAGTGCCTGGCACAGTACCTAACACATAGTAGGCACCCAATAAATACTGCTTAGTACATGTTTCAGACCATACTTTCTGAACAGCTCATCATGGGGAGGCTGGGAATTTGTTGAATGAGTGAATGAATGATTGTGGGCAGGAACCAAGAGAGACTGACCTTCATGACCATGAAAGCATGAGAGATTTTTAGGAAGTAATAGAGGCCAAGGTGACCACATGATTATGTTCTCAGGGGAAACAGCAGCAACCAAACACCCTTGGTTTCCCTCAACCTCCCAGTCATTCTCCACATATCCTTGCTCTGTCCCTATTCTTGGAACTCCGCTTGGCAAGCTCTGGGGAAGGTAGTGCTTAGATATAATTAGAGAGGAGGGCTGAACAGAGATGAAGACTCAGACCTCCAGGCCCAGGGAGGATGTGGATCTTGGGAAACCTATGGGTAGACATAGATCCACAGGGAGACCAGGCTACTGCTTATTACTTCCTGGATGACATTCATCTGGAAAACAATTAGAAGGAGTGTTGGTGATGTTGACCAGGCAGTCAGGCAATAGGCACGTGCACAAATTGAACAGTCAGTCCACCTTCCTCTCTCTGAGAGCAGGAGAGCCTAGGTCCAGAGGGCAGAGAGTAGGGCTGGGATCACAGGGGGCCTGAAGCAGTTGTCTCCTGCCCAGTGCTTTGACGTTGGTCCATTTCTGTGTGTGTGTGTGTGTGTGTGTGTTCTATCCCTCTGTTCAACGAAAGAAAGAAAGAAAGAAAGAAAGAAAGAAAGAAAGAAAGAAAGAAAGAAAGAAAGAAAATAACATAACCGGAAAACCAGAACCCACTCACAAAGGTTTTCTCATTAGGGCCACAACTGAGGTTGCTAAAGCTAAGCCATATACCCCCAGATTCCAGACAGAAACCCCCTGCCCCAATCCACCTCACCTGGAGGCACCCACCATGAAATTGCACTTGGTGATTGTCTCAAAAATCTACTTGTACTGCTTATCTCAGTCCATCTGTCCTTCCTGAATTCTTCCTACCCAAACTTGGCTCAATGTATAAAAATTCCCATTGAAAATAATGAGAATTTGGTATCAAAGTGAAGTCCTAGAAAGAGGTGAGAGTGGGGGGTGGGTGGGGAGAGAAAAACAAAAGAAAAAATTCAAACAGGAAGTGCAGAGGGAAAAGGCTGAGTGGCCAAGTTAGTCCCCAACATCTGTGTCTCGGTCCCCAATGAGCCAGAGGACATGGAAGCTGAGTGCCAGGAGCCCAGTGCCAAGCAGGTCCCCCAGAGCAGTCAAGTACGGTATGGAGAAATTGTCTGGGTCCAGGCCCCGGCCCCACATCCAGTGCACCATCCAGTCTGCGATGTACAGGAGAATCAGCACCTGGAGAGACAGAAGGTCCTGCTTATAGCCATCCCCTCTCCAGGGGGAGCCAGAGGCCACACAATTGGACCCATTCAGTGTATCACGAGGCTTGGCCAGCCACAAGGGCTAGGCTGGGACAGTGCATTTCCCACTGTGGCAACCTCTCTGTGTTCCTTCACCCTCAATTACCAACAGGCGAGATGAGAGCCTTTTAGAAGGTAAGATGCTGCCATAGCCGGCATCAGCATTACATTCGGCTCCCCAAATTTGCCAAAATAGGGGCTTCCTAACCCGAGTCCTTCCCCACACAGGAATTTAGCCCTCTTGCCTCTAATTCTGGGTCAGCCCATTCTTGGGTCACTCCAATCCTTGCCAGGTTGGCCTCTCCAGGCGCCTGGCAGGAAGCTGGCAGTGGAGTGAGCTTTTCCTGCAGGGTTTTCTCCTCTGGGCAGAGTGGCATACGGATAGCATTTGAGGCCACTGTAGGCATGTTTGTCTGAGTAACAGTTGATCATCCCAAGTTGGCTTTCTCCTGACCCTTCCCCTTCTGCTGTTGTGGGCTCAAAGAATGCAAGTTTACTTTAACATTAGTTTTAGCAAAACAGAACTGTGGATAAGATGGCTAAACATAAAGCAGATGATGCACTGCAATTCAAAATGCTGTGAATTATCTGCTGCTCTGATTTATCAGTGCCTTTACTTACCTTCTATTACTACATATAATTAAGAATGATCAAGATCAGAATCATGCTAGTAGGCCCGGGATCGAACTCAGGGGCACTCAACCATTGAGCCACATTTCCAGTCTTATTTTGTATTTTATTTAGAGACAGGGTCTCACTGAGTTGCTTTGGCTGAGGCTGGCTTTGAACTGGAAATCCTACCATTTCAGCCTCCCAAACTGAGATTACAGGAGTGTACCAAGGTGCCTGGCTGAGAATCTGCATTTTAATGAGATTCACGCACACTTTAAAATGCACTTGGGGTGGGACTGGGGTTGTGGCTCGACAATAGAGTGAGACCCTGGGTTCGATCCTCAGCACCACATAAAAATAAATAAGTGAAATAAAGGTATTGTGTCCAACTACAACTAAAAAAAATATTAAAAAAAATGCACTTCAGTCTAGAATACTGTGGTGGGGCAGGCTGCATCTGCACAGTGCTTGACATGTGGGTTCCTTAAATGACTGTATTGATGTGAGAATGGAATGATGTCAGATCCTTAACCCTGACAGTCATCTGAGAGGTTTCACTCTCAACTATACTTTGCAAATACTGTGGTATGAAAATTTTGCCCTAAGAGACTCAGATGCAGGACCAGAGCTCTTAATGAAGGCAGAAGCCAGAGCTGTTACCTATTTTTAGGCAAACTTGGTTGCTCTCTTGTCCTCTGTCAAGGAAGCTAGGGGTGACAGTTCTAGTACCCTTCACGTTCTCCCTTAACTGCACACAGGTGCCTTGCTCTATGGCCCTGACCCTGGGTGAGATCCAGAACCCATGACTTCACACCCTTTCCAGCAGCTGCAGAAAAGTCCCAAATAAAGAATGCAGCCAGGGGGCCCTTGCGACATGCTCCAGGATGGGAATGGCAGCAGCTGTCCTCACTTCTAGCCTTCAGGCAGTCCCAGGACACACACTGGGAGGAGGCGGCAAAAGGATTAGGGAGAACTCAACAGGGGATTAAGTGTCATATTCTGCCCCTCCACAGATCTAGAGAAAAGAGCAGAGGTAAGAGTGGCCCCAGGGCTTTGCCTTCCAATCTCAGCCAAGGAATGAAGTGAAAACCTCCACTGCAGACCCTCAGCATAACCACCCAACCCTCCTTTTCCCATTAGGGGTTTTATGTGACCCCACTCGCAAGGGAGCATGGCAACTTGAGTACTCCTGTTGGGAAACAGCATATGGTTGGTTCTAAGCCTAGCCCATGCTAAGATTCCTAACACAGCCTTTCTAAAGTTAGGGGTGGGGAGGTTTGGCAAAAGGGGACTCACTACATAGAAAGTGTCACAGTATTATGGAATGGCAGGGTAGATGGGCTCCTATAGATGGACTACCCAGTGCAATGATTTTGTTGCTTTTTCAAGCTGTGGAGCCTTTTATTTAAATGAAGCCCAGCATGCAAAACAGAGGGATCTCCAAGTGGAACTCTGTGGTTAGGCTAGTGATGGTGGTAGCAAAGCACACTTGCCGAGCACCCCTTCCTCTCAATTTGCAAATGTGGGGGCTGGGATTGTAGCTCAGAGGTAGTGCATTTGCCTAGCAGTGTGAGGCACTGGGTTCGATCCTCAATATCATATAAAAAAATAAAATACAGGTATATGTCCATCTACAAATAAAAAATAATAAATCAATTTTTAAAAAATGTACATTGCTGAGGCTCAGAGAGTAAAATCACTAGGTCAAAGTCATGCAGCATGTTAGTGATTCTGCTGGAAACAATGCCTATTCTTCTGAACTCTGTTCAGTATTTATCAGCTACCCAGAGCCAGAGAAGGAGGTGTCTGATGGGCCCAAACTGGGCTACCTTTTCTATCCAGGAAGGGAGTAGCCTTGGCCTTTCCTTGTACTCCTGCTCTTGCTGGGCCATACCTGGAGCAGTGCAGCTGTCATGTAGAAGATGATGAAGATGAGTGTGAGGGTGGTGTGCCCGCCCTGCATACAGCTGATAGTATAGAGGAACACCAGGTGTCCTGGGACCACAAGGAGGAAGAGGACCCGGGCTGAGCGGGAATTCACATCTGTAACCAGAGAAGAGCGGGCATGAGGTTGGTGGGGAGAAAATTTCTGGTCCCAGGCCACGGTCAGGAGGACCCTCACCACTCCCAGGCTGCAGACAGCTGACTGTCTCTATTTCTCCACCCTGTGGTCCCCAGTTCCTAGGATGTCCCAGGAAAGATAACCTTCTGGCCTGGGCTCTGCCCTCCAGAACAGAGGGCAGTTTAGCAAAGGAGAATCCTGGACCTGGGCCTCCCCAGCTTAAGCAAACTACATGATTATAAACCCCTCGCCCCCCAAAAAACTCCAAGGCTGGAATGGGACCAGCAGACTATGAATCTGCTGTTACCAGGACTGAAGAAGGTGGTACAAGGGCTGGGGCAGCGGCGAGGAGCTTGCTCAGAGTTCTCCCCTGGCATCCCATTCATGTGGAGGAAGGTGGAGATGCGGCTGGCCTGCACTGCCACCAGATTGCCCCCAACACCTGAGGGAACACACAGGACGTAGTAGGCTCAGGGTGGTGGGGAGAAACAACCTTCTTACTTTTTGAGTCCATCTGTAGAGGCCTCAGTAGGCACTTCCCAGTCCCTAGTCCTCAAGAGAAGAATACACCCCTGGTTCCAGTGATCTTCTAGGTTCCTCCCTGCTATGGCAATGTGGTGGTCCCAAGAGACCCCAGTGTGACTATGAGAGCAATGGCAAGGAAACAGGCAGATCTGCAGACTCAGAGCCTGATGTTCCACCAGGACAGTGAGCACCTACCTGCCTGCCCACACAGCACAGGGGACAAGCCCTGCCTCACCTTGTATGCTCTAATGCTCCGAGCAAACCCGGGCACCTGGTGCTTATGCTTGGATTCCTTTCGGTAATCAGTTTCAAGTAGTGTTTTGAGCTTCAAATTCAAATCTGGTGCTTTCCCCAGGATCTGTGCTGGTTGCTTTGTTTGCCTTCACATTCTGACCTAGTCTTGCTCTTTTCAGCCTTGCCCTGAGTCCTGGATGGCAGATTTATAGGCAGTCCCAGGACACATGGCTGGGAGGAGGTGGCAAAGGGATCCCCTGGCCATCTTTGCTGGCTGCTTCCACCTGGGTTTGTGCAGTGGGGTAAAGAAGGGTCAGGTATTTCTTTCTGGATCCCTCTCTGCTTTCTGACAGTGGCTTGTCCATGTTGATGGGCTCCTGCAACACGATTCTCTAGTCTCCGTGGCCTTCAGGCCTGAAGGCTCTCCCTTTGTTGCTAGTCTCTGGGTACCTCAATATCCCTTTTGGGTCCTTTTACCCTGCCCCTACCTTGTGAGAAGTCTCTTCAATATAGTCTTAAACTCTGAGCTGGATTCTCTTGCCTGCTGTAACTTGGACTAAAACAGAAATCCACCCCCTACCTCCCCTTCCCCTGTCCCTCTCCTTCCCCTTGATAGCTGATACTCAAACCTCACCATTGATTACAGGTGTGAAGACAGCCATCCCTGCAAAGTTGGGGTCTGAGACGGTCTTGTCCAAGATGAGGCCTCCCACACTAGAGATACAAAGACAAAATGACATCAAGACCACTGAAGGGTTCTTCCCTGGTCTCTGGGATGAAAGGAACAGACCCACCTAGCCTTGGAAGCAAAGGAAAGCATGATAGCTCCTCATCTTTTAGTCCTCGCCTCCCTTGCCAGAACTAGCTGCTGCTCAGAACACCCTGACTTGGCACAGTGAGCCCAGAACAAGCTGATGGTGCCAGGTCAGGCAGCCACTTCCTGAACCCATCCCCCAAGCTGGTTTGAGGAGCCACCTGCAGGGTTGCCTGCCTGTGAGGATCTCTTCATTCTGCCTGCTTGGCATTCATTTTCCTTTCTGGTAACAGCACTAGGCTCCTCCTCAGGGAACCACCTTCTCAAATTCAGGCACTGTGGTCCAGATGACACTGTGTCAATGATAGCTCAGCTCCTGATCACCCATTGGTTCAGGGATAGTCACGTGACCAGATGAGACCCAATGAAACTCTATCCTAGGACTTTGCGCAACTGTTGGGGTAAAGAATCTCTCTTCCTGCTGGACTTGGGAGGGGTTAGCAAAGTGTAAACCTGGGCTGTAAGCCATCACTGGGAAGAGCAGAGCCAAGAGACAGACTCTCCTGGGGCCCTGATGACATCATATGTGCCCATGAATCCAGTGGTGCTTTTTCAGTTTCCTTGGTCAAAACACCCTACTTTGGAATGAAACCCAGTTCAGGTGGTGCCGGTCTGCTACACTGGAAAAATGTGAGACTGATGTACTATTGAATGCATTTCTGGAGTCCTCCCTAGACCCTTCTCTCCAGCGGTTTCAATGGAGTCTACTGCAGGGTGTAGGTGGAAACTCAGGGCCTGAGCCTACCTGCTGATGGCCATGGCAATGATGACAGGCTCCCAGCCTGAGTACAACACCTCTCTTGTAGCTGGGCTCCGTCGGGCCAGCACCACCCAGACAGGCAACAGGGCCACGAAGAAGGCACACACCAGGGGGTAGATGTATCTCCAGTGATCTGAGAGGGCAGAAATCAGAGGGGATGAGCACTGTGGCTCCCTGCTCCCTGCCCCCACCCAGGCTCAACCTGCACATGTTCCAACAGACCAACAGATCACCAGCAATAATACACTGAACACCTGTACAACCTCATTTAGTCTTCACTGTCAGCCCAAGAGATCAGCAGCACCAGCCTTGCTCATTTTGTAGATGAGGAAACCAAGGTAGTGAGCTACCCTGACACTGAATTTACTAGAGGCAGAGACCAGACTCCAGGCCTCTAGATCTCAGAGGTTATTATCTCCTATTCACTTCTTCAGCTAGCAAGAAGATGCCAGCTTTCAGTTCCTTCCTTTATCCTTTCTGCTTTATCCCTCTAAGGGAAACAAGATCCACAGGACCAAGCAGGAATATATTTCTGATACTTTATTTCCTATCTCTGCTGCCTGCATGAATTTGAATCTGTTCAAACCAAGCAATTAAGAATATATGACCACATCTCCCAATCCCACCCGAGAGTCCACCTGAGCCACTCTCGGTGGCCTCAGCCTCACTCAGTTCCAGGTAGAGTCCCCAGCTGATGCCTGAGAGCAGTGCCAAGGTGATGAGATCGCCCAGGCTGGCAGCAATGGGTGTGGCCACGTTGTCTGGGTTGATCCCAATCTTGCGAGAGCCAATGATGACTCCAATCATGATCATACCTGGAGAGGAGGGGGAGGTGGGCCAGGCAGGGTGAGTGGAAATAAAGGGGTACTAAGAAAGGAAAAGAGAGAGTGGAGGTGCCAGGCATAGTCAACAACTCTGGGGCAGCCTTCCTTACTCCTGCACTCCCTTCCCTTCCTTACCCAGCACCAGAGAGGCAATGAAGGCTGTGGCTACACTGCTGGCACACAACAGGAAGGCATGTGGGATGCTGAAGTGGCCATCAGGGATCCAGCCAAACACAACGGCTGCGATGGATGCCAGGAAGCCCACCACCGTGGCCTGCACCTGAGGAGAGGAGTGGGCAGAGGCTGCTTAGCTGAGGGCCACTGAGCACTCAGCAGACTCTTCCTGGCCCTAGGCAGTCCCAGGAGGCAGCCTGAACTGGATTGTCCAGTCCTCCCATGCTGGAAGGATGTCTTTATTTATTTAGTTTCACACCAGACACTAGGACTGGGCAGTGCACCCTGCGGGAGCCCAGGACATGTTACTGGCTGAATGAGTGTTCCTCTGGGAACGGGGGCAGAGATCAATAAACCAAAGACTTCAGCTAGAGTCAAGACCTGGGATTCAAGGGGAAAGATGTCTAGTCTGGAATCCGCGTGGCCTCCTGGGGAGATGGGACAACAGTGGCAGCGGACACTTTAGCACTCCTGAGACTGCTCCTACTTAAAGACCCCTACTCCACCTGAATGGGAGATGCCACGGCTCTCCCCATCTTGGTCATTTTCCTGCTTAGCTCCAAGAGTTACTTTGCAGGGTGCTAGAGATTCACTCAGGAGCCAGCTGGGCCTGACCTAAGTCTTTTAGAGACTCATGATTCAGGGGGAATCTTAGCTCATTGGCTTCTATGCTGGCTCTCTTACCTGGATGAGGGCCATGTTTCCAGTGATCATCCTCCAGAGCTCCTTAGGTGTGTCCATTTGTCCAATGTTGGCCTGGGAGAAGGAGGATGAAGGGCTGAAGCTTCAGGCTTGAAAAGGCCTGGGGCTCCATGTGTTAGACCCCTGATCCAATCAAGAGGCAGTGCATGTGGCCTAAGACTCTGGGGCTAGGACATGAACGTCCTAGAAAGCGAAGCAAAGGTGGCTGCAGTGGCACACACCTATAATCCCAGCTACTAGGCACGTTGAGGCAAGAGAATTACAAATTAAAGGCCAGTCTGGGCAACTTTGACCCTTTCTCAAAATAAAATTTTAAATGGGGTGGGGTGTAGTTCAGTGGCAAAGTGCTTGCCTAGGAAGTGTGAAGACCTGTGTTCAACTCCTAGTATTGCAAAAACAAAACAAGCCAGGCACTGTGGCACATGCCTATAATCCCAGCAGCTGGGGGAGCTGAGACAGGAGGATTTCAAGTTCAAAGCCAGCCTCAGCAAAAAGTGAGGTGCTAAGCAACTCAGTGAGACCCTAAATAAAATACAAAATAGGGCTGGGGATATGGCTTAGGGGTCGAGTGCCCCTGAGTTCAATTGCTGGTTCCAAAAAAACCAAAAAGAGCCCCCCCCCAGCTTAGAGGGTTGGGAAGGGGGCTCCAGAGGCAGCTGCATCACTTTCTTACTCCCAGGACATGTGAGTGGCTGGCGTAGGACTGGGGCTGCAAGTGTTTGGGAAGGACTGGGTAGCATGGGCCAGGAGCAGGGTAGACAATGTTGGATGGGTTATGTTGGTGCCCCCTTCTCTCTGCCACCTTCTCCAGATTCTTGGCCATGCAGGGATATCAGTGGCCACCTGAGTTTTATTGTCACCCACTCTGTGGCCCTGTATCTGGCTCGTCCCTGAATGGTCACAGCTGGTCTAAGGGATTATGGGAGGTGGAAGTGATGAGCAGTTCCTCCCTGACTATTTCCTTAAAGAACAAGATGCCTGGGGGAAAGGGAATGGGCTGGAAGGGGGGCTGGGAGGGCCTGGCTCTGCTCCTGCCCAGCTGCAGAGCAGGGCTGGAGATCAGAGGAGGCCCCCACCTGTGCGGGTTGAGAAACCAGCATGGTGCCCGCCTGTCAAAGCTGTACAAACAGTCACGAGGCAGGTTGCAAAGCAGGGGTTGGGGCAGGCATCCAGGGATGGCTGGGACATCCAGAAACCAAGCCTGGGAACCTCCCATCCTGGGATCTCCCTACACCTGCCCAGGCCCTCCCTTCCCGCCCTAGTCTATGCTTCAGGAAGGCAGAGTGGCCCTCTCCCAGTCTCTGGCTCTGTGTTGGCCAGAATCTTCTCCTCCCAGCCAGGATACTCACTGCAGTGGACAGCCTCGATGCCAGGGTCATTTCCAGGTTCCCCTTGAGCCCCAGCAGTGCAGGCACCAGGATGAAGACCTCGGTCACCTTCTGGAAGACCTCCCAGTGCTATGAGGTGAAAACAGAGCTCAGGAATTTCAGCGTCCCAAAGGACTGGCATTGAGGCTGAGCAGACGGTTGGGATCAGGGTCTTGGGAAGGAAATGGGGTGAGCAGGGAGACAGCACCAAGCACCTTCCCTCCAAGAACCTGGAAGCAAAGCAAGCTTCCTAATAACATAATCCCCATCCCGTCCCCAGATTGGGGTGACCCCTGGCATGGCTCTACTTCCTCTGCAGCCAAGGGGAAAAGGTGGTGGGGACCCACATGGCTGAGCCACCTCAAGCTGGCTTACACCCCAGAACTCCTTTGAGATCCCCGCTCCAATTGCGCGTCCAGCCCTTTGCCTTTAGTCTAGTTTCTCCCTGGCCTCGGCCTTGGGCGGTGTTGTCTCAGCTGTGGAAAGCTGGGCTCCATGGGGCTGGGAAGATTAGAGCGTTTGTTTGGTTTCTATCTCCAAGGGCTCTGGGCCTCAGCCATGGTGACGCTCCTGAGCAGGCTCTGAATTCAGACTGTGCGGGTCGGCTCTAAATGCTAGTCATCTAGGGGCTTTCTTACACCTCTGCACTCCCTCAGCCCTCGTCCCCTCCTTGGCCTTAATGGGCAATGTGGTTTCCTTTATTTATTTTTAGAGTGGAAAGCCTCTAGTTTTGGAGAGAGAGGAGCTGGTGGGCGGTAGGTGGCCGAGTGGATGTGTGCAGGTTGGTCTGGGCGTCGTGGCCTGGAGGTGAAGTGCTGTAATGGGTGAGGGCACTGGTTGAGAGCCTGGGGTCTTCTACAGGAGACCCAGGGAGGGACCTCATGCTAGCTCCCCTCACATAGACCAGCTGGGGATCTCAGCTGAGGACCTCAAACTCCTGACTAAAACGCTCAATTCAGGAACCAGATTAGATGGTCTCTAGGGCAATTCTAGCACCATGACTTTATGGTTAAATATGAGCAAAGCTGCAAGTCACAACCACAGTGAGATATGGAGATACCACCCCACACCCACTAGGATGGCTACTATGAAAGCAAGCAAGCGAACAAACAGAAAATAATGAGTGTTGGCAAGATGTGGAGATTGGAATCCTTGTGCACTGTTGGTGGGATTGCAAAATGTTTCACAAAATGGGGGTGGGGAGGTGGCACCATGGTTCATGCCTGTAATCCCAACTACTCTGGAGGCTAAGGCAAGAAGATCACAAGTTCAAGGTCAGCTGGCAATTTAGTGAAATCCTATCTCAAAAAAAAAAAAATTATAAAGGGCTGTGGACAGAGTTCCGTGGTACAGTGTCCCTGGGTTGAATCCCCAATGCTGGAAAAAAAAAAAATTGAAAGCAGGATCTTGAGATATTGATACATCCATCCATGTTCATAGCAGAATTATTCACAACAGCCAAGACATGGATGCATTCAAGTGTCTGTCAACAGATGAATGGATCAACAAAATGCAGTACATACACACTATGGAATACTACTCAGACTTAAAAATGAAAGAAAATCCTGTCAGATGCTACTTTGTGGATGAATCTTAAGGACATTATACTAACCAAGTCAACTGCACAAAGACAAACATTATATGATTCCACTTATATGTGGTATCTGAAGTAGTCAAATTCATTAAAAGGAAAAGCAGAAACTGGGTTGCCTAAGGCTGTGGGTGGGGGAGGAATTAGTGTTAAATGGATATAGAGTTTCAGCTAGGAAAGATGAACATTCTGGAGATTTGTTGCACTCCAAACACTGTAAATATACTTAATACACTTCAAAATGGTTAAATCAGTAAATTTTATGTGTTTTTAAATATATATATATTTTTTAGTTGTAGGTGGACACAATACCTTTATTTTATTTTTATGTGGTGCTAAGGATATAACTCAGTGCCTCATGCATGGTAGTCAAGCGACCTACCACTGAGACACAACCCCAGCCCTCATGTGTTTTTTTTCTTAACCACAATAATAATAAATTTTTAAAAATGAGTTAAGACTATCAGAGGGGGCTGGGGGCAGGGAAAGGGACTAGAGGAGGCTGGACACTGGGCAGTCCTATAATGCAAAGAGCTCTTTTCTTTTTGGGATCTCTTTTTTCTCATCACAGTTCAGTGTGCGGATGTTGGGGGCCAGAACAGGAACCTGGGGAAGGGCTCATGGCATCCGCGTCAGAGCACACACTTGTCTTGTAGACCCTAGGATTCTTCTTATACTTTGAAAGGACCCAGGACTCTCCTCAGGGAAGCCCCTCTCTGAGGATGACGGAGGTGGAGGAAGCACCTCCCACCTCAACAGCAGCTCCTGAGCTTCCAGGCAGCCCCTTGAAGAGGTGGTCCCTTCCAAACACTGCAAGGATGTGAATCCCTTCTCACCTCGGAGGCAGCCCCAGTGAGCCCCATCAGCCTGAAGGAGCTCAGGGACTGTTACTCTTGGACATGGCCGGTGCACACCACTGGGGTCCCAGCTCCCTGTAGTCCTGACCTCATTTAGTTTTACTGGCTCCTTCTTCCCAAACTGGACAACAATTCCAGAAGGGGGAAGGGTTCACCTCCTTGCCCCTCCCCTGACGAGGGTGCTGACTGCGAGCTTTCAAAGCACAGCCTCATCTCGTATCCTTGCCCCCAAACATCTGCCCTGTCTGCTTCCACGATGCCAGCTCCATGCACAGCTGAGCTTCCTAGTTAGGTGGGTGCAGTGGGTATGGGCTGGTGGGGTAAAAAGCCTGGGGGGAGATACTTCAGGTGTATGCAAGTTGTATTTTCTGAATTGTTTGTAAGAAATTATTACTGGTCTTTATTTTTTAAAATATATTTTTAGTTGTAGATGGACACAATACCTTTATTTTACTTATTTTTATGTGGTGCTGAGGATCGAACCCAGTGCTTCCCACATGTTAGGCAAGCGCTCTATCACTGAGCTATACTTCCAGTCCCTACTTGCCTTATTTTAAGAAAAGAAATGTGTACAGTTCAGTGAAGCCTTTCTGGTTACCATTCTAAGCATCCCCAAATCTTTTCACTTCCTGGCAAACATGTACCCTTTTTTTAAATTATAGAAACATCTAGAAGGAATGGGGTTTTAGGAGGGATAGGCTGAGACATGTAAGGAGAACAAGCAGCCACAAGAATAGCCCCTATGAAGCAGCCTGGAACTCACTACCTGACCCCTGGCCCAGCAAAGTTGGCACTTGGGTCAGAACAGTCAGTTCCTACACACATACATTCTTCACCCACAAAACCCTCTCAAAGATGCAGTTCAGACAGGGAGGCTGTGACATGTAGGCATGCGCAGGGCTCTGGGAAGAGTGGCTGAGAGGCTGGTGATGTGGAACCAGCCTAGGAAGCAGGGTGTCCTGGGGTTAGGAGTGGGTAGGATGTGGCAGGGACAGACAGTGAGTAGCTCTTCTTCCTCCTTTGGCCTAATTCGGGCCCTTCCTGTTCATTTTGGCTGGGAGTGTGTCTGCCCCTGAAGTCAAAGCAGTTAGCCAAGCTGCCACCTACACTTTCCTGCTCTGCTGGGGATGAAAAAGGGTCCAGGAAGCTCTGCTCTGGCTTAGGGGCAGGGGGAGCATCTATGGATTTTCACTGCTTTTCAGAAGCACAGCCCCCTTCCCTTCTCTCTCTCCTTGGTATGGAAGGCTCATCACTCCTTGATGTTTTAGAAGTGGAGGATGAGACTGTTCTTCCCACACTCAAAACTAATCCTGATTCTGAGCAATCACCCTAAGTCCTGAACCTCAGTGGCCCTGCCAGTACCTCTTCTTTATACATCAAACCTGCCTCTTCTGCCCCATCCAGGCTCACACATCCACCCCCAGCTGTCTTCAAGCTTTCTGGCCTAAGTCTTCTGCTCCACGAGGGTAGCAGCAAGGAGGAAAGTCCGAGCCAGGAAGAGATGGAATTCAGACATTAAGAAGACTTGAATTCTTAGATTCAAGCTCTAGGTGCCAGGCTGCACAAGAACCTGAGAGATTTGAGCTGGAGCTGACCTTTCAAGGTGAGGCCTGGGTTTGAGGTCAAATTATAGTATCCCTGCCTCCATAGGTCTGGAACATGTCCCAGAGGAATCCTTGAGGTGTCTGAACAGAAGGGACTCAGGGTAACACCCAGGCAAATAGTATGTTCAAAAGTGAGAAAAGCAAATGGGGGTCCCCAAAACAGGCAAATGCAGAAGGGTGGTCAAGGAAGATGGGATCTGAGTGTCCTGCCCAGGAACAGTGGCAGCCATGAGGCCAGCTGCTGGAGAACTGCTCCCCACTCTTCCCTGAGGCTACACAGCCATCCATTCTCATCTCTGTAGACTCTTTGGTAGACACAGAGGAGAAGATATTGGGGCAGGTGTCTATCTACTTTTCTTGGGATCCTTTGCAAAAAGAGGAGTTAAAATAAGGTCCTGGGAGTTCCCCATCCTAACCTAGCTGAAAATCCTAGTGGAGGTTGCACACCACCTCCTGCCATCTCCATCCCCACAAAGGCTGACAGGAAAAGGGAGTGGGATGCAGCCTAGGACCAAACTTGGGGGGAGGATCATAAAGCACTGGCAGCCTGAAATTCCCTATATAATCCCCTTCTGAAGCCAACACTGGGCCCAAGTCTGCTTCCCTTCCAAATGCTGCAGGAATTTCTGGCTACAGTGGTCAAGGTGGAGGGAACTGCAGTCCACTTAACCTTTTTCTACTCTGGCTGGTACATGAGCTCCACATTCACTGCAGAGGCTGCTTCGCACACACGGAGCAGACCAGAGGGTCAGTAAGAGGAGGCCTTCCAGGAAGAGACTGGGTCTTCAGCAGCACGGGGGACCCTGGACCAAGGAGGCATCTGAACCAGGGCCCACACAGACTTCTATCTGTTGCTCTGTGACTTTGGGATCCTCTATAGCCACCTCCTCCAGATGGGTCTCTTAGATACTTTCAGGCTGTCTCAGTGACAGCCATCTTAGTGTATGAAGGGGGAACACAGGTGTGAATTCTTAGAAATCATTCTGTGTCTGAGATCTTCAGTCTCCCCTTTTGTTCCCCTGGAGGTGGAATCAGAATCTTCCTATAGTCCCATGCTCTGACCTTATGCACTCACCCCCTCCTGTGATCTTGCAGCACTCATCTGCAGGGCCTGCTCCAGCTCAGCTGTAGTGGGAAGGCTGGGGGAGGGGGACAAGGACAAACCAGCCATTGTCATCCACACCAACTGGACCCTCTGGGTGAGGTATGTGAAATGCTACTCTGAGGGAAAATGGTGGCCCTCTGGGGGCACATCAGGCAGCATTAAAGGCCTCTCAATGTCTCAGGCTGACAGGTGTAAGGCCAGATTCAGAGGCTCCAGAATCCTCTGCTGTGTAGTGTAGGATAGGTGGTTGATGGATCCCTCCCTACTCCTAAGAACTTTTGTTCTTGTTCCCTTCAGAAGCTAGCTCCATTGTTCCAGATTCCAATAACTTTGTTCTTCAGGGGAAGATAAAGACTGCAGGCTTAACTGACTGGCAAACCACGGCCATGCTGAAGGTCTCAGATGTTAGTGACACAGGTTCTGGGGACAGATGACCAATGGTAGTTACCTAATCATTTTAAGCCATAGTTTTTCTATCTATAAAATAGAGGTGATTATGATTTCTACCTCATGGGACTATAGAAAAGTCCCCCAAATGCTTTACTGTAATTATCCAGAAAATAAAACAACCTTCTGAGTTCACCATTGGATCCTGATTCGCCACGCCCCCCTTTTCTTTCTTTTTGTGGTGCTGGGGATCAAACTTGGGGCCTTCTGCATGCTAGGCCAGCACTCCCAGTCTCATACCCCTTATACAGACACCAACTAGCCCCAAACCTGAAAGAATGAGACCAAGGCCATAGGAAAGGGATGGAAATGGTGGAGAAACTCAGTGCTAGCTCATTTCTTCTCTTTCTCCTTCCCTTCCTCGATGCCCTATGAGTGCCTATTGGGGATGTCCCAATAGGCACTAGCTGCCTAACTTCCATGTAGAAACTATTCTCATGAAAACAGGTTTGGGGAGAGGGGAGGCAGTATGGGGCATTTTGACACAAACACCATTCTCATTAATAACCAAATGTTCAGGGTTCTCCTGAAGGGCTCAAGGGCTATGTGGACAGTACTGGAGGAATCACCTAGAACCAACCACATTCAGTACCCTGGGACATAGGGTGAACTCTACCAGCAGTCACTGCATCACTACATGCATGGTTTGTAGTACTGACTTGGCACGGGGAAGTGATGCTGAGCTTTGTGTTCCTCTGGGAGTATGTCAGGAAATACGGGCAGGTGGGTGGGTGGGGACCTTGGTGGGGATGTCCCAACAGGCACAGGCCAGATCTCCTCCTGCTTCCTTATTTTGAGTACCTAGGACAGAGCCCAGAACTTGGCAGGAACTTGAAACACATTGTTGATTGAATTAGATAAACCTAGCACCTGCAGGGCATGGTGGCTCACACCTGTAATCCCAGTGGCTCAGGAGGCTGAGGCAGGAGAATCACAAATTTGAGGTTGGTCTCAGCAATTTAGTGAGGCCCTGAGCAACTTATTGAGACTGTCCCCAAATAAAAAATTAAAAGGGTACCTTCATACTGTGCTTCAAAAACTTTTACCCAGAAATGCAACTTTATCTCTCTGACCTAGGGTTTTAGGGTAAGTCCCAATTCACAATGAGCTAAGCAGTCACCGGCTCTCAGCTTCCAGGTCTTGCCAACTTTTATGCTTCGTTCTACCCAATACCCTCATAAATAGCCCTCTTTGCCCAGGGCAGGTTCATGACAGCAAGGTGAGGAGCAAAGAGGAGAGACAGTTCTGCCCAGGCCTGGTTACACTGTGTTCCAATTTGCAGCACATAATTAGCTCTTTTAGGTCTTATTATGCCAACGCCCCAAATCGTGCATACAGCGCATGTGCCCATCCCCATTCCCCAAGGAGACTCTGCCAAGGTTGCAGGAAGATAATCAACACAAATGCCTTTAAGAGTTTTTCACTTCATCTGAGACCCTCTTGGCAGCTGAATAAATTCCTGCCCAGCAGGGGAATAAAGGAGAGACTTGAAACCGAGCTTTCTACCCTGGGTATCCTTGAAACCTCAAGTGAAGGGGAAAGAAGGCACAAGGAGGAGACCCAGCTAGATGTCTCCTACTGGGCTGGGTTTGGCAGGAAGGCTCAGGAAGCAGCCCTGTCTGTCCTCTCTTCCCTCCCCAAGCCTGAGCTCTGGACTTAAATCTGTTACTGTTAAGCAATACTACCCTACTCAGCTTCTGTAGAAAGTAATGAGACCAAGAAGAAACTGAGGATGTGATCCAAAGGGAAATAGTATTCTAGGAAGCAGCAGATGCTTCTGACAGGGAGGCAGAGAGGAAGTTCCAAGAGTTGTAGTTTCCCAAGGAGTCACCCTGCTCAGGCCTTACCTGCACAATGTCCAGCACCATGCCAGCAGCCACAGTCCCGAAGCCTGCCAGGAGGAAGGGGAACAGCACTTGCAGCCCGATGGAAAAGGAGGTCTCCTTGAGTGGGGAGGGTGGTGCAGGGCCGCGGTCCGTGCTGACGTCGTCACTTTCATTGCTTTGGCTGCCGTTCTCCAACAGGGCGTCCTCTTCCCGAATCCCCTTGGCATTGGCACGAGACTCAATCACCACCACCTCCACCCCAGCCCCATCAGGCCCCAGGAACTCTGAGGTCCCGGCCAAGGGATCTCGCCCGGGGCCATCTGAAGAGCAGGGAGAGGGAGTGGGGCCAGTCCCATTCAGTTGGTGGACGTCCTTCGGCTCCGGCTTAGAGGACATGACGGGCAGGGAGGAGAGGAGGGGGGAACTTTCTTTTTTTTTTTTTTCCTGCTTTTCTCTCCCTAACTCAGGAAAGATCTTAGTCTTGGGGGGAACCCAGGCTTGGGTGCCGCGGGTCCTCTTCCCACGGCTCTCTGCTGCTACCAGGCACTGCAAAAACTGATCCACCAACAGGCAGCCCCATGAAGCACTGGAGCCGGGTTCTGGAGGGGAGCAAGAAACTCCTCACCAGGTTCAGCAGCCCACCACTAGGGGTGCAGATGCCTGCCTCCAGCCAACGGGCCTCTTGCCTGGGGGAAGTCTGTCTGACCTCTTATCTTCTTTGGTTCTCAGCGGCAAGCTCCTCAGGGAAGGGGGCATCCAGAGAAGGACCCAGCCCAAGGCTGCAGTGCCTCCGGAGGCAGCCCCTCTCTCGTAAAAAGTAGACCAAGTTCAGATCTTTCAGAACACAGCCTCCACCTGGGGCTGGGACTCCTTCCTGCTCCTCCTGCTCGGTGCCTTCGGCTTCCCACAGCACCTCAGGCTCCGGTGGTCCCAGGGCAGTGTCTGCTGTCTTTCCCCTCTCTTCCAGAGATTTCCTCCCTTCCTGGGAAGACTTTGTGTCTCCCCAGTTGCCTGGTCCTTAAAGTCACGAGAATCTGTATGGAACACCTTATGTGGGAAGAAGAAGAGAAAAAAAAAAAAGAAGAAAGAGAGAGAGAGAGAGAGAGAGAGAGAGAGAGAGAGAGAGA